GACTTAAATCAGTGCAACAGGACGCTAAAATATAACATTACAGTAATGATGTTAATTCAGCACTGGAAGCTAATGATTAGTGGAGTGTAGCACTGAAACGGATCAACAGCTTATACACATAATTCAGCAGCATCATCTGCTTTGTACTCTATGTTATCTGTGTTCTGTCATTACAAGTTATTAAATTTGTTGATCAGTTAGTTTCAGATAGATATATCGCTTGGATTCAGTATATTGAGATAACTATCATGGACTGGTCAGATGAATACAAACTATGCTGTATTGGACATTGCAGATGACATATCTGTTTGCGGGATACTTGGTATATTGATTACAAAAAGAAAGTTAAATAAAGGTGGGTTGATTCTTCCTGTGGAGAAATTAAGTAGTACAGAGAATTTAATTGAAAGGATCATGAAAGACTTTCTTACATCGTTTCATTGTGAATATCAGCAGAGAAACTGAGCGGTCTATCATGAGATTAGAAGAGAAAGTGGTTTGGCACTAAGGCACCGCTATTTGCTTCAGGTCTCCTTTGCCTTAGAGGGAAAGAGCCAACTGAAAATTGTGAAGTAAGTTCCAATGTAATTATATAATTCTTAATAAAATTAGGCAATGTCATTAATAATATTAATTGCAATTCAGATGTTTCATGTAGTGGAATGACACTTTTAATTGTACTTAAATTCAGTGCAGTTATGCCCCTCCCTCCATACGCATTTTCTTCACTGCCTGAATGAACTGCATCATAACTGAAGCTAATTCTTGGTCACTCTGAGGAAGAGAACTCTGATTACTGACACTTTTCTTGCCAAGGAATGCTTGCTTCATTTTGCATAAGATGTACCATACACTCGTCCCTCAATAACTTTGCATCAGCAGAGCTCTTCCTTGTGTGTCACCACACATTGGCTGTCACTGCATCACCAGAACTGATCCTGCTCCCTGGTCTTGGAATATGTCTTCCGTTTTGTGTCTCTTCACCATATAAAGTAGTGCACAGTGCACGAATGGATTTGCAAGTTGCAGTTGTCCTTAGAAAAGTGTGAAGGTAGGCCGATGCTTTGTATTCTGTATGCTTAAAAAGGGAGTATGGAGTGAAATAATAGGGGTCAGTGTCTGGTTGTGAATAGTAATGAACCCTTGCATTCCATAACTTGTTGGTAATTCACTGAGTATCTGAGCAAACAATAGCTTCTCTGGAAAGGTGTATCTGTGTGAGGTTGGTTAATGTTTGGCATTAGAACTTATAGATTGATTGTCTGGAACTGCAATTTGTTGATGATCCCATCCTGCTGAAGCAACCCAAATGTGTCTCCAATGGTCAGTAAGTCTAGGTTCTCCTGTTATATACATTGGAGTAGTACAGTAAGTTATATATATATACCTGAGGGCAGTGACTCGCATCCAGCCAGTCAGTTTATCAAACCCTGTATTCCCACCAGACTGAAACAAAGCTTCTCTTCTTCAAGAAATGTATTTTTGCAGTATGTGTGACCAGTTTAATTACTCCTACATAAATAACTTAAGGGAGCTTAGTTAGAAATCATTAATGGAAGTTGTTATTTTTGAGACCTCACATCCCACTAGCTCAGAAACTGTTTTATGTATATAAATTTTATGTCACATTGTGAACACATGCTGTGCGCAGTGAAACAGCCGCTTGGTGTAGCTGATGCAGCAGAGGGCACTGCAGAGCCATGTGGAAATGATAGATGAAGAGACAAATAACAGTACAGAACTCGGAGAATAAGAAATATGAAAGAGGAAGATGGGCAGAACGACAGTAAGAGACTGAACGTGACCTAGAAGCCTTTACCTTAACTGAAGGAGAAGAAAAAATATTTCTGACTTACGCTTCATTCACCAAAATTCAGAATTTAAAATTGGTATTGTATATCACTCAGAATCACTTGCTGGGTTTTTGGATTGTGTTCATTGTCTGATGAAATAATGTTAGGAAAGGTGGATGATTTAAGATACACTGTCCGTGTGTGTAGAACATAGTGCTTTTATGAGTCTTCCATTTATTAGAGGGCAGAAACGGATATATAAAAAAAAAACAATAAGCATAAATGTTGCCAACTTATGATGATGATATGATTACCAATCCAACATGACCTAATCTCATCACAATCATAAGTCAACAATCAAGTAAAACATAATATAATTAACTATGCAATCAAATTCAACTTGCGACGAAAATACTCAGTTTTTGGACCTGGCAGAGCTTTGGTCAACAAGTCTGCCATCAACTCTTCACTCTGAATATAATCAAGTTTCACTTTACTTTTCTTTATGGCTTCTCTGATAAAATGATGCTTTAACTCTATATGCTTAGTACGCTTACTGAATCGCCTATCCTTACTTAACATTTGGGCTGACTGATTATCATTAAAGATTACAGGTACTTTCTCTTCATTCATCAATTCTAGTACAAAGTTTGATAAGTAAATCCCTTCTTTAATACCTTCAACCAGTCCATTCAGTAAATCGTGTAAACGTACACACTCTCTAGCGGCATCATTCAACCCCTTGTACTCAGCTTCAGTACTTGACAATGATAACGAATCTTGTTTCCTGCTTTCCCAAGAAATTACATTACCACCCAATTTGAAAACATATCCAGTATACGAGGTCTTGTCAAGAGGGTCATTACCATGAGCTGCATCAACATATCCACACAAATCTAACTTTGCTGTGGTATTCTTTTGGAACGTTAACTTAGTGTCAACAGTCCCTTTCAAGTATCGTAGTACTCTCTTGGCAGCTCGGACATGCACTTCTCCATAGCAAGTGTTAAAACGAGATAACAAACTTACAGCATGAATTATGTCAGGTCTGGTACAAACTCCGATGTACATGAGACATCCTACTAGACTCTGATACGGAAAACTAGTATCACATACACCCTTCTCCAATTGGGTCCCTGTAACTAGAGGAGTGCGCGCTGGTTTGCTGTCTTGCATGCTGAACTTATCTAGGACATTCCTAATATAGTTGCTCTGATCCAAAGTGATTACATTGTTCGATCTTTCAACTCTCATCCCTAGAATATTCTTAGCTGCACCAAGATTCTTCACTGGGAACTCATTACTTAGTGCCTTCCTAAGCTTCTGCATTTCTACAGTATTACTGTAAAAGACAAAGATGTCATCCACATAAATGGCTACTATCACAACACCTTTCTCACTGGACTTCGTATATACACAGGGTTCAAATTCACACTGTCTAAAGTCATATTTACACAGTTCAGAATGAAGTTGTTCATACCAAATTCGTGAAGATTGCTTAAGACCATACAATCCTGTTCTCAATTTGCATACTTTACCTTTTACATCCGTAGCATTTAGCCCATAAGGCGGAACCATATACACATTCTCCTTAAGAGGGCCATGCAGAAAGGCGGTTACAATGTCCCAATGATCTATTTTCCAATCTAACTGAATAGCTAAAGAAAGCAAAAGTCTTAGTGTGGAGTACCTTACTACAGGAGAAAAGGTTTCTGTATAATTAAACCCATAAGTTTGTGTGAATCCTTTGGCTACTAATCGTGCCTTGTGTTTTGTAATTTTGCCTTCACTATCGTGTTTAATTTTAAACACCCACTTATTACCCACAGCCTTTTCTCCTGGAGGAAGGTTCACTAAGTCCCACGCTTTATTGCTTTTCAAAGCGTCAAGTTCTTCATTTATCGCTTCAATCCACTTGTCACTATCAGCACACTTCAAGGCTTGCTCAATGTCCTCAGGTTCCTGGTCACACTGCACTGCACTATACATGACATGATCAGGAAAAACTCTAGGTGTACGTTTGCGTAATGGATACCTTCGGACTTGTGTGTCCTCACCAGCTTGGTTCTGATGGGATCCACCTTCTTCCACTAACTGGATGTCATGGTCCTCACTGTCTACGGTGGTAGTGCTTCTGCTGTCCTCAGAGCCTGACTTATCTTGAACATTCGCCTCCTCCATATCATCTGGATCCTTTGAATGGAACTCACTAACTACGGGCAAAGGATCTGGGGTTGGCTTGCTGTCATCAACTAATTTACCTGGAAACCTATTCTCAAAGAAAACAACTGTTTTGGCAATTGTGAGATTACCCTTGTGGTCAGTGTCCAGCAATCTGTAGGCCTTGCTGCTCTCACTATATCCCACAAATATTTTCTTCTCACCCTTTGGATCCAGCTTCCTTCGCTTCTGTTTTGGGATGTGTGCATAAGCTTCACAGCCAAAAACCCTTAAATGGCTGAGACTTATCCTTTTCTGCCTCCAAAGTTCCTCAGGTATTTTTCCTGACACTGCCTTAGATGGACACCGGTTTCTTACATAGATTGCAGTGTTCACTGCTTCTGCCCAATATCGCTTGTGTAAACCAGCTCCTTCCAGTAAGGTTCTTGCGGTCTCGATTACAGTCCTGTTGGAGCGCTCTATTCTGCCATTTTGTTCAGGACAGAAAATGACTGTTCTTTCATGCTTTATTCCTCTCTCAGCTAGAAACTCATTCATCTGTTTATTACAGAACTCAGTTCCATTATCAGTACGAATGCACTTCAACTTCTCACCTGTTTCGATTTCTGCTCTCAGAGTGAATTCTTTGAAGTGTTTAAAGACGTCTGATTTTGTGGCGAGAAAATATCCAAACATTTTTCTCGAATAATCATCCTTCAAAAGTAGTACATACCTGGAACCACTGAATGATCTTTCTTCTAAAGGCCCACAGAGATCTGCATGAACCAATTCCAGTCTCTTACTTGATCTTGACTCACTCAATGGGAAAGGCTGTCTTGCCAGTTTGCCAGTTACACATGGGATACAATCCAACTTGTTCTCAGAATCAGGAAAATTCACTCCACAATCAATTTTTCTTAACTTCAACATATCAGCTGCATTAAGATGGACCAGACGTTGGTGCCATAAAGCTGGACTCTGTATGTTCGCCCTGTTTGCTTTAGGTTGGCTAATAGCATAGCACTTCAATTTGTCCTCAACTTCTAGTTCATAAATTCCACCCACGTCCTTGGCTGTACCAACTATTGTTCCTGTGACTCGACATCCTTTGCTGTTAAATATCTGACACCCTTTATCTGCAGAGAAAAACATACAGTATCCCTTTTTCACAGTGTTGCTCACAGACAAAAGATTTGCTGTGGCATCGGGCACATACAACACATTAGACAGCTCACGAGCATCGTCGGATCCTTTCAACATTATTGGTACATTACCTTTACCCTTTGATTCCATCACCTGATTATTTGCGACGGTGATTGTTATACTAGGAGTTTCCTGTGTGAACTCTGTCATGCACTTCTTGTCAGGGCTTACATGATTACTGCAGCAGCTGTCAATGTACCATTTTCCTACAATGGGTCTCTCACCTGCCATTGACATCATAGCACCAGTCCTTGTCTTGAATTTGCCCTTCTCTTTCCCAGTACCCCATTTTAAACCTTTCGATGGGCACTCCGAAGCTTTGTGACCGGTCTCATGACATTTGTAACACTTGAATTGGAATTTCTTCTCTCCTCCTCCTTTGTCTGCTCTATCTTCATGAGTCGAAGATTTGTGTTGTATGAACTGTTGCCTTTTCTTGCCTTGTGTATACATGGCAATCTCTTCTTGATTCTGCTGCTCAGAAGTATTTCTTAAGTCATGTATCTCCAGCAGTTTTCCAACTAGTTCATCCACAGTCATTGGCTCTTTGAGGTTAAAGAGGCTCATTAGAAATGGCTCATAACTCGCAGGCAGTCCACCGAGAAGTATCCATATTTCCCAGTCGTCACTTACTTTGACGTCGACATCCTCTAACTGATGTGATAAGTTCAAGACTTTAGTCACATAGTCATCCATCGACAAACACGTTTCTAACTTACAGTTCCAAAGACTCTGTTGTAGCCGTAATTTCCTACCCCCGCCTTTATCTTTGTAGGCTTCTTTCAGCTTCGTCCACGCTTGCTTTGCGGTAGTAGCTGTGCGGACTTTGGCAAAACAAATAGGCTCTAGCAGCATGCAGATGGAAGTATGAGCACGTCGATCCTTATCTGTTGTCACAGTTTCACCTACCTCAGTTCCACTTGTTGTAACTGCACTCCATAGATTCCTGTGTTCTAGATAATTTTGTACTTGAAACTTCCAGTCCTGGTAGTTCACGACTCCCTTCAGCTTTTGGATCCCGGCAAGCAATGCACTTGCTCCTGCTTCGTCATTCTACATCGTTGGCAATGTCCTCACAACACATAGGCAATAAGAAGTACGACCCACCAGCAGATTACAAATCTTTCTATTATACACACTCACAGTTCAAAACGTCCTGGGCCCATAACCTGATGAAATAATGTTAGGAAAGGTGATGATTTAAGATACACTGTCCATGTGTGTAGAACATAGTGCTTTTACGAGTCTTCCATTTATTAGAGGGCGAAAACGGATATATAAAAAAAACAATAAGCATAAATGTTGCCAACTTATGATGATGATATGATTACCAATCCAACATTGTCTGGTGTTCACAAAACAAGAGAATGTACCATTTGAGGAACTGGGTCTGTTTCAGTCCTCTCTTGAAAGGGGGTGGGGGAGGCACAACTTCTCTGCTGGATGCATTAGAAAGAGCTCGTTCTAGCAGGACAAAGGACAGAGCCCAAAAATCCAGTGATTCTAGAAACATTTAGAATCTACAGGTATCCTACAAGTGTATGAGTGTTCTGGCGAGCGTGTGTTATTTAGGATTTATTTTACAGTGATCTTGGCATTTTTGGCTACCTAGAATCGGTTGGAATAATGCTTGATAAATGGTGAACTTGGAAAGATTTGAAACAAAGCAGTTGTTACATTTTACCCTGCAGCAACTAAAGAATAACCTGGAAAGGATCAGTCAGTATATCTTCTGGTGCCCCCCCCCCCCAGATAGTCGAATGGAGCACCTCCTGGATACTAAACTAAACAGGATAAATTATTTCATGTCTGTTATGCTCGTTGAAGTGGACGAAGAAGCCTGACTGTGTCACACATATATATGTATCTGCATGTCATCATGCTGTATTTTGGCAATTTTGAATATATGGGCTTAATGGAATGTTGAGATAATGTCAGCACAGTACAGTAGACCTAAGCCTGTGTGTTCGGTAGAGGGCTCTAAAATATGCCAGCCAGACTTGCCGGGGTGCCACATTTACATAAATTAGCTCACATACGCTTTTGGCGCGGATATTATAAACTGTGTGGTAACAAAAGGATGCACAAGTTGTGTCCATTTCGCGATCATTGTGTTTCAACTGTTTGAACGTTGAGTCTTCGTTGCTAACATGGCCAAGACAGGCCACAGAAGAATTGTTCTTCCTCCTCAACACTGTGGGGTCAGATGGCATTCACCCTTCAAGTAAGTTAAGGGTAATAGTAAAGTTGTCCAAGCACTATGCCATGAAGACATGGGGGATTGGATGTATAGCCCCACCATTCTTGACTTCTTCACTAGATGGAGATGAGTGGTGAGTTTCATGCCCCGGTCTCCTTTACCCTATTGGAAATGCCCAAGATACCAATTGGATAAGAGGTGCCATTGGGACATATAACCAAAATTTTGTTCATTCCAGCACTGTTATGCCACCAGTTATACCGTGGTGATGGGGGCATGGAGGTATTCCCGCTGTCACCTCTTGTACTGCAGTCACAGGGGTAGAGCTAAGGAAACGACTGAATTACTTCCTCTATCGTTGCTTCATTGGCTAGGGGCTCACTGTTCACCGGGCTTGGTTGGAGGGCGCAGGTGCGAAACGTGGTAAGGGAGGAAATCACAACAGAAACCCACATCCTCACCCTATGCTACCCTATATTAGTATAAACAAGCAATATACAGTTATATACATTTTGGTACTATCACAATGAAAGAGCTGACTGGTTTCGGGTTACACGTTACACCTGTCTACCTCTGCATCACTCAATTGGATCACTCTTATGCCCCGTACACTTGTTGTAACGTTCCTAACTCAAGTCCCATTGGAGGGGTTACACTTTAATAATATTACAATTATTAAGCATGGCGATAAGAGTAGTTCCACTTACTTGTTGAGTCTGCAGACGGATGGTGCGGCCCGGCACTTAGCCGGTGCTTCTCCTAGCATAGCATCCGGCGACAGCTGCCCAAAATTACTGTTTGAATAATCCCCATAATAATTTGCTCTCCGGGTTATATACCTTTATTCATGTAAACTCATTACTTTCCCGGGGGGGTGTAAGTCCGCCTCCAATGACGTCTTATCCCAAGGTGGGTGATCTCGTTGGCTGGGATCCTAAGTGGACGCACCCCCTTCTACTGCTGGACCATTTGGCTAACACTTTTACCTGCAAACGTTCCCCCATCTTGCTCAAGTGTAGCTTCTGCAAAGTTAGCATTTCGAGGTACCTTCAATGTCATTCTGCTGACTGGACATTCCCGCGTGGCAAGCCAATGTCCATCTAAGTCCATACACAGAAATTCCTTTAAGTTGTTTAACCCTTGTTACATCCACTTTCATACATCTTACAAGTATTTCCCCAAGACTAAATCTATTCCAACTAACATTTTCCCCTAAAATACAAAAAGTTAATACTCTGTTAACATATTACCGGGAGTTGGCCTTCACTGCACAACAAGCACCATTAGTGTGTTTGGAAATACACTCTGTTCAACAACAGGAGCTGTCAGTGTGTCTGAGTAGGCATCACAACTGTTGCTCAGAAATTTTGCACAGTTTTAGCCTCACACACATCGTCCAGGTAGGGGCACTTATACTTCTTGGACACTGTGCACTTTTCGAATTTACTACATTGAACGGAATTTATGCAGGTTATACATGGAATTTTACCACTACAAGATGGCTGTTATGTCACATGAATGATTCTACGTAAACTTTAGATGTGGATTTCGTTATTGCTGATATTGCATGCACCTATGCTCTGAGGTGTACCTTGTGGTCCAGGGGTGCACCAATGGACTGTCTAGTGTCCTTATATGCCCTCTACAGTTATATACTTTCCACATATTTTGTAACTAAGAACTACCACATAGAATTTATTATGTAAATTCTTCAATAAAAACTGATAATTCAGACACTTGTTCCATATGTTGTTATCTATGTGTAATTAGTTTAAAGAGGCCAGTGTTTATCATTCTGACACAAACTGAATGCAAATCTAATCTCAGTTATTCATGAATAGAACCAGAATATAGCAGTGGTAAACTGTGGTGTTGTCACTCGTTAACGCAATATTGAGGCCGCGCCATAGCTCAAGCTGTTAGTCGCTGGCTTCCCACCTTGTTGGCCTGGGTTCGATCCCAGGTCTGATCAAGTGGGATTTGTGGTGGACAAAGTGGCGCTGGGCAGGTCTTCTCCGAGTACTTCGGTTTCCCCTGCCAATCTTTATTCCAGCAATTGCTCCACAATCATCTGGGGCTGGCACAATAGGCCAGAAGTGGCCACAGTACAAGGAACTTGGTCCCACACCACTAGCAATTAAAAAAAACGCAATATTGAGCTTTGCCAAAAGTGATACTTCCAGTATATTATAACGCTTGTTGAATCAAACTGTCTTCAGAAATTTTCAAGTTTATAATCTCCATATTCAATAAAACTGTAATTTCAGAGTATCCATGCTAAAATGTAGATTGGAAATTTGCTTTGTTTTTGCTGTGATGGGACTAGTATTTTTACAAAATGGATATTGGTGTACAAGATACAGTAGATTGATAATAGCTGTTCTAATATGTGGTACACAATATGACCCAGTATAAAGTAGTCTGAAACACAAAGTAACATAAAGCAGCCGTGAAATGTGCTTATAGGCATATTCAGTGGGACAGCCATCACACTGAAGGCATACTTCAACTTGTTGATCCAGTTTCCAAACATCCATTGAATAAGTAGATTACTGTCTTACGGGGCGTGATATTGTGGGTAGTCCCCCTGAAGATGGAGACAGCAGGTTCCCAAGAATCTTTGCAACTTTCCACCAAAATGTAGCAACATTTCCCAGAAAGTTGCGATCTTTCTTATTCACTGCCATGAGAGCCCCAAATGTCATGTCATGCTGATATCTTCTGGGCTACTTCATACTGGGAGATAGTGCACATAAGAGAACCTGCATTACAATGCACTGTATTATTGTGTTTCATGAAGTCCCAACAGCCACCGCACTGTACCATATGCTGCTGCTCTGGAAGCCATCAAGGCTCTAGAAGTTGGAGTGCAGAACATGGTCATGAGCTTTTTATTTGTTTTTATTTTTCTCAAGAATGGTATATACCTACTTAAAAATATTTTATAGAATGTATTTATTTATAAAAAAAAAAGAAAAATTTGCTGAATTTATGAGACTGACACTTTTCCAAATGCAAATGGAGAGGACACAGGATTACACCCCAAAACACAGGAACCTTCAGTCAGCATGTGCGAACCTCAAGTCTCACATGAAAGGGACTGAAGTGATACACATACTGCACTGGAAACTGCTGTACATTAGGTCACTTAAATTATCATCATTATTATTAACATGTCCTTCTAGTTCTGTCTCTGATAATACTGAAGTGTCATGTGTGTTAGTTGTTAGTGACTATTAGATGGGGTTTGGATTGGTGAACAGATTTACTGACCACTTACAGGTCGTAACTACGATAACTATAACACTACTGCTGATTTCCACACCACAAATCACCCCACGCTAAGTCTTCTCAGTCTACTTTCACTAGTCTTGATAACTGCTCTCCACTGTGGCTGTTCCTCCGCAGTGATCTCGCCAGACGTTTCCCGGTAACGAAACTTAGCAATGGAGATTCATCAGCTTCGTTGCCCACCGATTAATAGTCCACAACTGAACCCTCAGCTGCACTGAATGGCTACTTGTCTTCAAGATAACTGGGTTGCATGACACAGTTGTTCTATTGTTGCGGACGTTACGTAGCAATGGCCACTGTTTCTATGGTCACCGACTAGCAACAGGTCTATACACCACATTATTTACTGAAATGAATGCAAAGTTTTAAGCTTCTAGCACCTTCGTGTTTTTAAAGTGTAGTACAATATTTGTGCCTAACTTGCTGTCAGCACAGCAAGACACATATACAGTGTGTGTGTGTGTGTGGGCGCGCGTGCGTGCGTATGTGTGTGTGAGAGAGAGAGAGAAACACCATGTTGTTTCAAGACCAGAAGCTTCTTGTTAACAAATTTGTCTGAAGTACCACCAAAAGTGGGACAGTGGAGACAAGTAATATTTCAACATCATGAACAATGATCTGCCACGAGTCTGGCTGAAGTACTGCCAATGAATGAATGTACAAGGGGTGGGCCATCTTTGCCCTTGCACCACGACCTATAGTGATCAATTGTGCTTCCACTTTTGATTATCCCCTCAGCAATCCTGCGCTTCGAATAAAGTGCAGGATTTTGTATGTGGGGGCGTCGAAATAGTCACTTGGTTCCATAAAATATTGAACCAAGTGACATAATCTTAAGCCAATGCCTCACATTTACTTCTTGACACCTCTCACAAGTGGGACTGTTACTTAGTCACAGTTTGAAGAGGTGTCCTTTAAGTTGACAGTGTCCTGTAAGTAATCCTACCACCCATCGTACCTGGTTCCTGTTTAACTTCAACAGTTCCTTCGCTCTTTTAGTAGAGGGTCCTCATATTAGTCCCTTTGCTTGCCTGAGTCCAGTCAAGGATCCCCAGCATTTCTTGTAATCCATATTTGTCCAGTCCTTGATTGCCTTTCTGGCAACTCCTATAGAGATGCCACAGGATGGTTCAGGTTCAATGAATGGATTTTCAGCTCCAATCTTGGCCAATTGATCTGCTGTTTCGTTTCCAGCAATACCCTCATGCCCTGGCACCCATATCAGTTGTACCCTGTTATGTTTGGTCAGTTCCATGAGGGTTTGGTGGCAATCCCAGACCTTTGAGTTGATCTGGTGTTTGTCAAGCACTTTAAGGGCAGCTTGGCTATCAGATAGAATGTAGTTGTTCCAATTTCTGTAGTCTCTATCTAGATTCTCCATAATGCATGCCTTAATGGCATATACTTCTGCGTAGAATACTGCCGTGAACTCCCCAAGGCTGAAACTAAGTTTCCACCTCGTGCCATAGCTGTACACACCAGCTCCAGTGAACTTATTTATCTTGGAACCATCTATATACCAGATCAGCCCCCCCCTTTTCTATCAGGCCGAAAAAAACCTGTCTTCCCATTCACTCCTGTTAGGAAATCTAACTGTGATGGGTTTTTCATATACATGCCTTAGTATCATTTTGTCAGACCCCATTTGTAATATGGATTCTTTTCATGTCCTGAGTTATGTATGCATGTCCGAAACTATCGGATCTAGGTTTCCATTGATCAATGCACTGGAGATGGTAGATTCCTGCCCTGGTCTCTGCCTCCAACTGTAGATGCAGTGGGGGGAGTCCAAGGAGTGCCTCCAGTGCTGCTGTTGGAGCTGTTGGAATTGTTCCTGTGATACCCAAGCAAGCCAACACTTGCAATTTGCTAAGTTCTGCCTTGCTTGTCTTGAATTTAACTCTTGGCCAACATACTGTTGTGCCATATGTAATTATGGGTCTTAGAACCACAGTGTACGTCCAATGCACAACGTGCTGCTGCAATCCCCAAGGTATACCAAGCATGCTTTCGCATGTCCAAAAAGCCTTATATGCTTCATTGATGACCTTGTCCAGCTGTTTTTTCCATGTCAGTTCCTTGTCTAATATTAGACCAAGGTACTTGACATCGCTGGAGAGCTGGATCGTCTTATTGAAGAGGGTCGGTTCCTTAAGGTCCTCTATATTTCTCTTCCTGGTAAGCTGTATAATTACCGTCTTATTTGTATTGATGGAAAGGCTTGTTCTTTCACACCATCGTTGGACCGTGTACAGAGCTGTTTGAAAATGTTCTGATAATGTCGAAAGTAATTTTCCGTTTATGAGGATTGCTATGTCATCAGCATATCCTACTGTATAATACCCATCATCAGTTAGTCCCCAAATGAGATCATCCCCTCTGCTGACGGCCCCTAGATGCGAATGCCCCCAGGGTCTCTCCTGATAATGTGGCTGCCATGGTTCTGCTTTCCAGCATAGCACTGATCCACCTGCATATTGCAGGCTCTATGCCATGCTTTCCAGCGGCCTGTTTGATTATATCAAATGAGGTTCTATCGATAGCTCCCTCTATGTCAAGGAATGCTCCTAAGGCAATATCCTTGTGTAGTGCGCGTTCTGTAGATTTACCTGTTTGGTAGGCATGCTGGTTTCGGTGTACAGGATGTCCTCAATGCCCCGTCCCTGATATGCCTATCCACCATTTTCTCCATCGTCTTCAAAAGGAAAGACGACGGGCTGATAGGACCATAAACCTTAGCCTTGGTGTAATCTAGTTTCCCGGTCTTTGGGATAAATGTCACCTTAACTTGCCTCCAGACCATGGGGATAAAACCATATGCCATGCAGACTCTATATGCGGCATAGATGTGGAACTAAGAGTTCTACCCCTTGCTGCAAAAGTGCCAGTACAATTATATCTGTTCCCACTGACTTAAATGGTGTAAAGATATTCAGTGCCCATCTGATTTTTGATTGGTTAATTATGACTTTGGCCAGGTTCCAGTTTACCCTGTTCGTCTTACTTTGGCAAGTGCCCAGGTTTTGCTGACCCTGTCCATCGTCCAAATTATCAATCAATTTTGAATCAGGAACGTGAACCCTAAATAATTCATTCAATGTCTTACTTCCTGTTTGAGTATACTGCCCGTTAGGCAGCTTAATCGTGCTGACCTTGTTGGTCGCCTGTTTTGCCATGATTCTCATGAGTCTGGCACCGCCTGGTAAATCATTGATCTCCTGGCAGTGCCTCCTCCATGAGGATCGCTTGGCTTTCCTTATTTCTTTGTTGTAACAGGTAAGGGCATCCTTGTAAGTCTCCCACTGCCCTGTTCTTTTAGCTGTAGTAAACAGCCTTTTCGTTTCGGTTCTAAGCCCACTGAGCTGTTTACTCCACCAAGGCATTCTCCTTGGTTCGCGAGTGGTCCTAGCCGGACAATTCCGATTAAAGGACGAGATAATATCCCGTTGCAACTGGTCAACGGACCGATCAGCATCCTGTACTGTGAGTATATTTCGCAATCTCCAGATTTAGCTTTAGGTAGTTGTAAGACTCCCAATTGGTTCTCTTAGGATTCCTATAAGTAGCTTTATCTACTGTAATGTTGCTTATTTGAAAGTATATATATATATGTGTGATCCGATAGGAACGGCTCATCAGATACATGCCAATTTTTTATCACATTTCCCATTTTATTGGCCCATAGTGTCAAGTCGATAACCTCATGCCTATTGCAAATCACAAAGGTATGCTCTGTGGGATTGTCGATGTTCTAAAAGACAACCACGTAAAACTAACAATTGTATGTATTAAATTGTATAAATTGAATGTACAGAATAGCTGCGAAGCTATGTGGAATGTCGATGTTCAAAAGTTGACTGGCCCTGAAAAGGACAGTTTGTTCCACCGTGAGTGTGCTGGCAGAATTTGCTCCTTTGCAGTAGACAAAGTCTTTACGGCCGTTCAGCTGGTCCGTCTGGCCCAGGATGTGACAACTGGGATAGAGGAAAAGGAAACACGGTAACTACCGTAACTACTGCCTCTATATGTGGGGAGGCAGATCTCGACCAATCAGAGAGCTTAAACAAACCAATCTGAACAGGAGGTGGCAACTCAATGCTATTGGCGGGCAACACAGCCAGCATGACGTCATGAAGCATCAGTGCTGCCGCGGTGTCCAGCTGCAATTCTCATAATAAAAAAAAGCTGCAGCCAGTGCCAAGGGCTCGGTCGGTAAGAAGGTATACTATAATACCACCTACCCTGTCGGTAAGAAAGTATGCCATTATACCACCAGCATTTTTTTACTGCTCCCTCCCAAAAAATCACTGGTTCACACACATAGCTAGAATTAATAATTGATGTAAATGAAATGTTCTTATTTTACAGGCACTGGTGAGAAACTTTCTCCCGATAAATAATGTTGCAACCTGATATCTTCTACTGCAGAGGTTCTTACTCCGTTGTGTTTTCTGTTTTCGAACTGAGTTTAGTATCACTTCGCTCAAAACCATCTGGAGGGAATGAGTTAAATGATATCAAACTCAGTTCAAAAACAGAAAACACACAACGGAATAAGAACCTCTGCAGTACAAGATATCAGGTTGCAACATTATTTATCGGGAGAAAGTTTCTCACCAGTGCCTGTAAAATAAGAACATTTCATTTACATCAATTATTAATTCTAGCTATGTGTGTNGCTGAAATGAAATGGATATTTGAACTATAACATATATAGAATACTTGTGTTTAGGAAAGCTGATGGTGGGTAAACTTGAAAGAAAATTCTGTTTCCATCAGAGATACTTGTATTCAACTTCATAACTTTGCTTACAACTTATACCTGAAAGCTTTACAGAACATAGCTTTTCAGTTACATTAATGTGTTATATATATATATATATATATATATATCATGTAGAGGAAGTAATAATATTGAGGTTTTCATTTGTTATTAATTTCAGTAGTATAATGAAACTCGAGAATCTGATACACTCTCTTGTTAACAAGATTAAGATTGCATTTAATAATATACAAAAAGCAATAAAATAATTGCAGAACTCTTACAAACCTTTTTTTTATTTGTTTCATTCTGGTCCATCACACTAACAATTACAAAGACAAAAATAACTCCGTCCAGCAAGCCACGAACAAACACGGACAATACTAAGAATCTCCTTCACAAGATAGACAGGTGGCACAAGTTCAGCCCCCTCCAAGAAAGACGATAGGAGAAGTGACACGAACCTGCATGGTTTATAAAATTTTGACTTAAAGAACAAAGTTCTAATACCAGGAAGGCTGGTGCGATTGTGAAAAGTTGAATATTGTGTATATTGTGTATTCCAGGCATTGTGTATGTAATTCAGCACTCAGAACACCTACTGTGATAGTGGTTTCCGAATAAGTATTGATGTTCCCTCTGAAGATGATCCATAAGGATCAAAATGTGTAAGGGTGCTGAGTTCTCAAGTGCTAAAACTTAAATAGTCACACTGCACGGAGTTGATTTTGTCTTTGTCTTACAAATATCATGATCTGAAACATGCTCATGTTTCCAAATTAATAAATTAACTGAACGAATATAATGAATGTTGTATTTTAGTGTCCTGTTGCACTGATTTGTATCCATATTGTGTATATATTAACCGTCTCTTACACATACATACATCCAGCAAAACAACGCACGCAGCCACATAAGACACACACATCAAGAGACACAGTATATACACAATTAAAACATAAGAAGAACGATTCCCATAGAGGGTGAATGGCATTACACACAAGTTTGATATACGACATGTAAGCGGATAGACCTTAAGTAGTTTTAACATATAAATTTTATTATTGAACGACAAACACACATTTTATATCATTTTATAAATGGACACTTGATGGCAGGCAGTGCAATGGTTTAACGTGATTAATACACCTGAGGATGGCAGAATGATGCCGAAACATGTAGTGTGAAGTGACAAGTGAAACTGTATGCACTAAAAGATGGTTAATATATACGCATTATAAACATAATGAACCTTGAAAGTCTGATATATATATATATGTGTGTGTGTGTAAAAGTAAAGTAAGTAAAGTAGAGCTATCCCTGTAACAGGCCATGAAGGCCCATAGGGTTGTGAGATGTTCATAAGTTCAGTACTGAACACAATAATATTTATTTATTTACTTACTTACTCGTGGAGCTGAGCCCTTCTTGAGGAGCTACCAATTCTGCAGCTACTCAAGAATTTCTCAGCATTTCATGGAACCCGAAGGTTCATCACCGTGTTCACAAGAGCCCTCCACTGGTCCCTATCCTGAGCCAGATCTATCCAATCCATGCCATCCCATCCTATCTCTCTAAGATCCATTCTAATATTGTTCAGCCACCTATGCCTTGGTCTTCCTGTGGTCTCTTTCCTTCTGGCTTTCCCACCAATATCCTATACGCATTCCTCGTCTCCCCCATTCATGCTACATTACATATTTAAGATTTTCAAGGTTCATTATATTGCTTCAGTAATTTCATTACGATGTGTTCAATAATATGGCCAACATAATGAAATTACTGAAGGAATATAATGAACCTTGAAAATAAAATATCTGAAGCAATATAATGAACCTTGAAAATCTTAAATATGTAAATGTTCACAAGTTCAATGTTGAACACAATAATATGGCCAACATAATAAAATAAGTGAAGGAATGTAATGAACCTTAAAAATCTGATGTTTATATATTTATGTTCATAAGCTCAATGCTGAACACAATCAAATGGCAAAAATAATGCAATGACTGAAGGGATATACCCATAATAACAAATTAGATGAATAAAATATGTAGACACTAATAAGTAAAACTTCCTACCTAGGAAGTTGTTAATAAATTTAGTTACAAAATATACACTGAATCCTGACATTGATTCTGCTCCTCAGTGTTTCATGCTGAATCAGGCAACCTGAAGATTGCAAGTCAATTATAAAATAATGCCACTTCACTCTTACCCACATATAAACACGAACCATTTGAGTCAGAAAAGAATTTCCCACACAATTCTTGACTGAAATATAATTATTTTCAGATATAGGGCAGAATGAACTCTGATCATCTTCTGACAATGATGTTCTAATACTCTGGGAAGAAGGAAACAGGTCTCCAAAGCAAGGAGAGGGAGCTCAAGATCAGAATAGGTTTCTTGTACGTAATCCGACTCTAGGTGATAATGTTATCAACAAATTACTCAATACCAGAGGTTTGAGACAAGAGCATGTGAAGGCATGGCAGTTGCAGTTGCAGTTGCTTGTCATCAGGGTTACTTTCTCCAACTTATGAAACATCTATAGATGCTCTTGTGAGCAATTGGAATATATTATTCCAGTAATTCAACAACTGCTCTCTGCCAATTTCCAGGGCTGGTATGGGCAGGATATTACAAGGCAAAGATGAAGAAGCATTACTTTCCTAATGACTTACTGATTTGTCAGTATCTTATTCTTCCTCTTTGTGGCCCTTTGCCTGGCTGATTCAGTCATCAACCTGTTTGTTCGCTTACACCAATAAGGAATGTAAATTCTTGTGAGACATCTCACAATACCATCTACTATTCCTTGGTAGTGAAGTGAACAACCAGTACACCTGAACCACTCCAAGTCAATGGTGCTCTTAATGGCAGCTGTGATATGCTGCAACATGAATTGAATTGCCTACCATCACAGATTATATTAGAGTTACAGCATACCAACAGTCTCCACACCAACGTCTCAGAAATATATGAAGATATTGGCTGATAGCAGCACTTCAGATGTCACGCATGTCTTGTGTGCATCACAGCTGACACCATGAAGCACCTGTCTGGCAATGGAACCACTGACATAGGCTACTGAGAACACTTCCATGTCACCAGCATGTACTGCAGCAACCATGTCCTTCTGTACTTGTTGAGTAACATGGAAACTCAGGAAATTCATCAGGGGTTTCCTTGCCATGACTTGTGGACAGATTTGGTGAAGAAGCATCAGGTGCCCTGAACAATGACTATAGGTTACACACAACAGTAGCACCATCATCCTCACAACTAGTTCCACACAGACCTCTGATAGCAAGTGCACTGATGATGTTAGTCTTCAGGGCATCTACAAACTGTCCCACAGTTGGATTATTGTTCAAACCAGACTACAAACGAATAGCTTCAAATGTGTTCACAAGGTGATCACCAAACAGCTGTTGCCAGGTATTCACCACAGCACCCCACTGAAAGAAGATTAAAAAGGAAATTAGTGGGCTTCCTTACATGATGGACTTCTTCAGATTTGAAAAAAACACACTTTACTTGAAAGGGACTGCCATTATAAAGATTTTATTTAATTAAATTATTCCTCATAGCAGACATCACCACCTTATTCTCTTATAAATCATATTACTTGAATTGAATTGAATTTATTTGCATTCCATAGACCCTAAGTAGGTTAATACCTCTGGATATGGAACAAGTCAAAATAATACCTACTGGTACAAGTAATTTTATCTTAAACTAATATAGCTTAATTCTACATTATTCTCTATTTACACTGAGGTATTCATCTACAGAGTAGAAGGAATGAGCATGCAGATATTTCTTTAGCTCTGATTTAAAATGTTTAGTATCATTACTCAAGTATTTGATACTTTGTGGGAGACTATTGTACACTTTTATGCTAGAAAAGTAGACTCCTTTTTGATATAGTGATAAGTTTGATGAAGGTAGATGGAAGTTATATTTTTGTCTAGTATTCCTGTTATGGATATTGGAATTTAGAATTTAATTCAAATTCATTTTTTTGTACACAACAAATAAGAGAAGCAATAGTATATATTGTGATTGAAGAGGTAGAATTTTTAATTTCTTAAATAAATCTCTACATGAACCTCTACTTCTATGTCCTGTAATGATGCTAATTATATTCTTTTGTATCTTAAAAAATTTTACACTATGTCAAGAGTTCCCCCAGAATATTCATCCATAGTTCATAATAGAATGAAAGCAGGCATGGTAAACCATCTTCAGTGTTTCCTGTGGCATAAAGGGCTTAATCGATCTCATTGCATAGCAAGCTGCACTTAATTTAGGTATAGTTTGTTCTATATGTATTTTCCAAGACATTGGATTAAGCAACACATAGTAATTACACCATGAATTAAAACAGACATACCGTGCTGGATCCCTTGGAAAAGTGAAGAATCTTATGCCTTCCTTGCCGGACGAGAAGCATGCAGTAGCAACAGAAGTTTTTGTTCTCAAGTTTATGCTGCAAGAAGCAATACAAAAATTATAACACCGTCAAAGTACTCTTAGAACTCCTTCACATTCAACAGACAATCTCTGGGATAAACCGAAAGTTTCAGAACATATCATAAAAAATATCATTTAGATGACAGTTGATTATAACCTCAAAAATTTTAGGCTTGAAAGAATTCTGTATGTTTCTAATTCCATTTGTGGTAGTAAGCATAACATTAATATACACAAATAATATGTTTAATATGGAGCTGTAATTTCGTAAGCATATGTCTACTTTCGTTTCGCAACCACATCAAATCAACATTCATACTTACAAATTTCCATATAATTCACCACGATAACCGCAAGTAATTATGGGTATTCAAATAGGTTTGTTTAGGCTCTCTGATTGGTCGAGGCCTGGATGAAGTTTCCGCAGTCATTCGTAGAGGCAGTCGTCCCCGTGTTTCCTTTTCCCCTATTCCAGTTACCGCCCCCTGAATCTGAATACCCACAATTACATGCGGTTATTGTGGTGCATTATATGCAAATTGATAAGTATGAATTTTGATTTCATGCGGTTGTGAAACGAAAGTAGACATTTGCAAACGAAATTACAGCTCCATGTTAAACATATTATTTGTGTATGTGAATATTATGCTTACTACCACAAATGGAATTAGAAACATATATAATTCTTTCAAGCCTAAAATTTTTGAGGTTATCATGAACTGTCATCTAACGATATTTGTTTTATGATATTTTCTGCAACTTTCGGTTCATCCCAAAGATTGTCTGTAGAATGTTAAAGAGTTCTAAGGGTACCGTGATGGTGTTATAATTTTTGTATTGCTTCTTGCAGTATAGACATGAAAACGAAAACATGTGCTGTTGCTGCTGTGTATTTGTCATCCAGCAAGCAAGGCATCAAATTCTTCAGCTTTCCAAGGGATCCAGCACGGTATGTCTATTTTAATTAATGGTGTAATTACTATGTGTTGCTTAATCCAGCGAATAAATTAAGTTTAGTGTATATCTGTGTTAAATTTATTCAACATAACCCAAAATTTTAGAATGTGTACCAAGTTTGTAATGTTTACTGAAGAATTATTTCTAGGTTTTGAGACTATTTGTTCTACTTTTATAGGGCTGCGGTATGGGGAGGAAAGGTTGGAATAACCTTCACTGTTGATTCTGCTAGAATGCTGCACAGTAAATATTTGTGCAGCAAACATTTCCTGGAAAGTGATTTCACTACACATTGCAGCAAGCCACAACACTGTATTGGCTACAGGTAAGGACCACTGCACTGTATACTATGAATGATGTTCTGTTATGAGAGAAGTGGATAGCGAGAATAATGAGAGCTAATTTTTGAAGTAATTGTCCCAAGAACCCAGTTGTGATCAAACAAATGTCATTGTCATCATTCATTACTTATGAAACTGTACTTCAATATACAATTTTATTATAAATCTTATTTTACTGTCTTATGTGCAACTTTTTAAGTTTTAAATTTTAAACTTAAAGTTAATAAATTGTTTCACATAAGACTGTAAAATAAGATTTATAATAAAATGGAAGAGTGCAACAGGATGCTACAATACAAACTTATCAGTACACAAGTTATGTAGGATATGTCAAATATTTTTAGGGTAATTAACCTTTAAACGACTGAATACCCCATACGGGGTCGCACAAGTTTAGTCAGCGGTACGAATATCCCCATATGGGGTCGCACAGTCCGCGCGTGCGGACGTTATTTGAAATACATTTTTAAGGTAGAAAATAATGTCCTACTTATATAATTTTTGGCCACCATCTGCATGGAGTATCTGTCTTCCCACCTGCGTCATCTGCCGGAATGTTGCCTTCGTGTGGAATTCTAAAAAAAATCCGGAAATGCAGAGTCCGATTTCGCACTTCAGGCACTTTGTCCGGACGGTCTTTCGTTTCCTACGCGAAA